TAGCTTTTCTTATACAAAATTGCAGATATTTGAAGTAAGCACCAGAAAAAGTTGGTACATGTAATGATCATGTGCTATGTACTCCCATGATATAAAGATATCAGTAAAGGACCGAAATGTGTTATATGAAGAACACTGTGTTGCTTTTACTCAAAGATGATAAGTCAAGAAATGTTTGTAAACTACATGTTGGGATGCTTTCCAAGTTTTTGAGCATGGGAGAGAGTTATTCCGAAGTTGTTCTATTTTGTGCAAAACTTGTATTACTGTGATATACAAGCTAAGAATGTTTTGTTCATGAGTATTGTTATTGCATGCTACTCGTGTATTAAACCGCAGATGATTTGTGTCATATTATCCTTGTTAGTCGTGTCTCATATTTTTAAAATTTCCTATGCTTTAAATAGGTTCACTTCAAATCATTGAGGTTTTGTTAGTCTATATTCTGCTACACATCCAGTCCAGGGGCCATATTCTAAAAACGATGTTATCTTTTATGTTAGGGAAAACAATTTTAATTGTAAGTATTATGTAGTTTGAGTCACCAGTGCCTGGGAGGCCAAAAGCAAACTGAATCACTTGCCTCCTGGTGTAACTGATTGGGGTGTGCAGGTTGACCACTACACCAGGGTTTCATAACAAACTCAAAATATATCAAAGTAACACTTAATGTACAAAGTTTGATATTTGTGATAGTAAGCATTGTTTTACCAACATAAGATATAACATCGTTTTCAGAATACCACCACAGACCCAGGTCAGATCAACAACTGTGACATATAGACCACAACCTCTCGGTCTAATTTTGGTGTCGAACTCTGATCTTGATACAAATCTGGGGTTATATAGCCCTTAGTATAGAATATGTCTCCAAGTGCTTTACAGATCTTATTACCCCAGTTATTGGATTCATTTACACACAATGTGCACTATCTCCACTACCTTGGGAGTATTCCTACAATAATAGCCACTATTGGGGCATATGGCAATTTCTATTACTAAAGCTTTCATCATGGTATCGGGTGCCCATTTCTCTCCTGGGTATACGGAGTGGCAAATGTAGATGTCTTGCTTACGGCCACTCACTATGAATATGACGTACAAAGAAAGCAGACAAAATATACAGTTCCTCAGGTAGACAAAGGAACATTCCTTCACTGCTATTATGTAAAAAGGTGAATATGCATGTGACACCTGTTCTACACATTTTTACATAATAGCAGTGAAGGGATGTTCCTTTGTCTACCTGAGGAACTGTATATTTTGTCTGCTTTCTTTGTCAGTCATATTCATAGTGACTAGTGCCATGACCATTTCCAGTCAAGTGCTTAATCCACTTGACTATGACACCTATTTGAAATTGAGTAGAATAAGGATTTTAGTTCTTTAATCTTCTATTAGCAATGTGTAAACTACTATACGGTAGGCCTTTTCATAGAAAGAACCTACATTTTCTCTTTTTTACTTTGAGTCATGAAATGGCCTCTTTATATTTGATAGAAAATGAGGGGAGAAAAGAGTTCAACTCTATTAAAAAAAATAAAAAATAAGAGAAAATGAATGGAAATGGTAATAAAGAGAGAGAGAAAGACACAGCAAGAGAGATAAAGGAAGGGAGAAAATATTGTGAGAGAATAAAAAAAAGAAAGAAAGAAAAGATGGTGAACACCACTGGCTGAGGGGCAAACCCCGGTCGAAAACGCACAGAATTTCATCACATCAATTAAAAAAAAGAAGAAGCTTTTTGCCTTTATTCAGATTTTCATGTACAAATGATAAAGAGGAACATAATTGTTCTGACAGTATAAAGGGTACTTTATTACCTATACATTGAATTTTAGCTGCAAAATAAAAAGCCAAATTCTGCACGCTACTCCCAATACGAAACCGGAGCAGGCAACATTTGCCAGATTGCCCTCTTCCGGTTTTTCCCTGTAGACCACTGTACCGAATTAAAGGGCAACATTCAGACATATTCCACTCTTTCTTGTCAGTGCGCTTTTATTAAAGTGCATACGCGCAGTATTGTGTAGGCGTTAAAGTGGACGCGCGGTAACAATTTACGTCACAATTACATACCTGCCTGAATAACCTGTAATCAGAGGGACCAGCAAACAGACGCAAGTAAAAATCATGCTTTATACCAAAGTTGTATATCATTTGTAAAAAAATGTATAGGTAATAATAATTATATTGACAGGGCTTCTTCCGGGGTACATACAAAATATTGACTTCGCTAAGATCATATTACCCTGGTCTTCAACACGGGGCAATATCATCTTAGCTTGGTCAATATTTTGGATGTACGTACCCTCAATAAATAATATAATTGTCTCATATATTATAAACACAGACATTTTTAAAATTTATTATTCCGTAAGTATCCAAACTAATATAGTACATATTCAATAAGGTATACAAATTGTAATATAATTCTGCAATTTGGGAGAAGAGAAAAAGATTTTTCAATATAAAAAAGGAAAAGGTAACGATAATTATATAATATTGACTGGCCTTGAGGGGTATATCAGAAATATTGACCAAGCTCAGATCATATTGCCCCGAGTCGAAAGACGAGGGCAATATGGTCTTAGCGCGGTCAATATTTCTGATATCCCCCGAAAGTAAAGCCAGTCAATATTTTTATTGTTATCCAAATCAGACATCTAGAGCAAATACAGACATCCACCATGACAATCTCAAGAACTGAACAACTTACTTTGTCAAACCAACACTGTGCATCCAGTGCTTGACAAAATTTTCAATACACTACAAACAGTGTGTATTTGGTGTGATTATTACGTCACAATAGAGTGCGCGCAAAGTGCGCAGGTTCTCGTACGCATAATATTAATAGATGCGCAATGAAAATGCGAGACCGTGGAAAATACCAAGGTATATTTTCACTCGTCTCTACACGCAAAGTCAATACGCGCAGGGAGACCAAGGAAAATACAAAGAATATACCCCTCCGTTCCCACTGCTAGTGAAAACTAGGGCAATACGGTTTTGTAAATGACCAGCTCAGATGTCTGATACGGGTAATAATACTTCATATTCATATTTTCGGATACAACATTATAAAAAGGAACAATTTTTTCAGTACAAACATATCTTCTAAGCAAATTAATTAGTTCAATATAAATTAAGCAATCGGAATAAAGATTTTCTTATATAAACAGAAAGTATAAGGTTAAGGTATTGCTTCATAACCTATTATAAACCAATTTGTTATATTTACATAGAATGACATAGTGCTTTTTTTTAACTCCTAGATTTTATTATCATTATATGAAGGTCTTGTATCAGTGGATTTTTTTTTTTTAAGCTTTTATGTCTTTATTCAGATTTCTATAATTATACAAAATGATGAATAGGAACACAATTGTTCTTACAGTATGAACATACATGTAGTACATTGTCTCATACATTATAAACACAGACATATTTTTAAAATATTTTCCATAAGTATCCAAACTAATATAATACACATTCAATCAAGTGTACAGAATGTGCTACAATTCCTTTAAAAAAGGAAAAGGTGACAGTAATACTTCATATTAATATTTTTGGATACAACATTATAAAAAGGAACAATTTTTACAACACATCTTCTATGCAAATTAATTAGTTCAATATAAATTAAGCAATCTGAACAAAGATTTTCTTATATAAACAAAAAGTATAAGGTGAAGGTGCTGCTTCATAACCCATGATAACAAAATTTGTTATGTTTACATATAATGATATGGTGCATTTTTCATTATAACTATATGAGGGTCTTGTATCAGTGGAGGTCTGTAACTATACTGTTATTAAAAAAATATATATATAAAATATAAAAAAACAAGCAAACACGATAGTAGATAAGTGTCCGGATCGATGAGAAAGTGAGGGAGTGAACAGGAATTACAATATATATACAATCAGTTCCCCTGCCTTATGGGGTAAAATTTTCCCATTTTTGATAATGCATTGGCAGTTTGTCCTTTAATTTTGCTTTTTCATGTTCAACTTTTTTTGATTTCTCTACAGCCTTACATATTTCTTTACTAGCTGGGAAATTTCCTTTTTTTTTTTCGATTACTGTAAATCATATATTTGACCAAAATCAATACATGATTTAACAAAATTATCTTTCATATTTTTTCTGAAACCAAGCAACACATCAATCCATTGCTTATTAAGAAACTGAAACATCTTTAAACTGTTTCCCATCTCATTCCATATTCTAGACCCTTCAGAACATTCAAAGAAGATATGACGATAGGTTTCTACTTATTTTCTACAAAAGGAACATAAATTTGACTGTGTTAATCCAAAAAGATACAATTTATCATTACAAAATATGATGTTATGTAAAAGTTTATACTGAAATTCCCGGTGGGGTCACTCAATGTGACTTCCGGATCGCATGACCGTTACCAAAATCGCGGAAAAAGGGGTCAATTTCAAGCAATGTCCGCGGACAAAATATTCCTCGAAATAAAGAAAAATAGGGGGGCACAGGTGTCCCCGAAATTGATAAATAGGGGTCAGGAAAAGGGAAAAGAGAAAACCGGGAAGGGAAAAGAGAAAACCGGGAAGAAAAATTCTCGGAGCCGAGTCTTGTCCTTGAAATACGGTAAAATAGGGGTAAATTTGCGAAAGTGTCCTTACAATCTTATAAATAGGGGTATTCCAAAGTACGATTTTGTCCTTGTTTTGACGTAAAAAAAGGGGTTAAATTTCACAAAATGTCCTTGAAATTGACCGCAAAAGGGGGTTATATGCATTGGTGGTAACGGTCATACGTGTCACTCTTTGCAGGGGAGTGACCCCACCGGGCTGAAATTACCCTAACTTCTCATCTAGAGTGGAAAATCTGGGGATTGAGAAACATGTTGTAGTTTCTGACTTATCCTCTGGATGTTTAAAAGAAATGCCATCAAAAAATGTTTAACAGCAACCTCTCTTGACGAGATTTGGGCAATGCACACACCCATTCATAATGTAATTCATGTACGTAAAACTGTACCGGCTAATAATATACACGACATACGTAGGCAATATTGAGAATCGAAGACAGATGTCGATCTTGTAATGACCAAAACATGTAAAATATCTTCTTTATCACGATGCCTGATGAATCAATAAAAGACAACGGTCGAGAGAGTAAGTATGATGGAGGATATTATTTTGTATGATTGTATAATAAGAAGTCATGGTTTCAACTAAGTAAGAAGGATCGATGGATTTTTTTGTGTAAACGCCTCCGCTCAAGACATGCACATCGCCAGTGCAAAAATGTAATGCAATGTCAATGGCAATGGGCACCGAAATCATGACATGATTGGTTTGATTCAACAAACCAATTTTTCATTATAGAATATGAGTTAAGAAGTATAAACTAAATAGATCTAGAGATCTCTCTGTTGGACCTAAAATTCATCCTACTTACTAATACTAGCTGATTCAGTGATTGTGTTGGTGACATGTTGATTGAGTGTGTTTCTGACTTTCTGTGACTGATCTGAGTCGTGCACGAAGAATAATCGGCGCAGAAATGCGCGAGTATGCGAGCCCCTGACTGGCTGATCTTCCTGCTCCGCTAGCTGCAGCGGGGACAATTTGCTACACCGGGAGCGCGGTGTATTACAAATACACTGAACCAGGCAGACATCCATTGTGTAGCGGTTGTGTTGAGCGAGCGCGAGCGGGGCCTCACCAAAAATGGCGACTAAATACCCACTCGGTAAACATTGGGCACATAGCCTTGCGCATTTGTGTTAACAATGGAGATGCCTTTAAAAGCTCAAAGCTAGATAATGGTTACGCCCATAGAGATGTGAGTTGTGAATATTTTGTTCTTGTTGACAAAACACGGTGTGAAAATTTGTTTGGCAACTGATGGCAGAAGAAAGTATTGGGATGTGTTCTAAATTATTGACTTTTAGTGCTGCCATTTCATATTCTACCATAAATTTAACTTTCACTTATCTATAAGTATTATGAAACATGGTAATGATATAAGGTTTTCTAGAACATGACAAAATGGATAAACCACCAAATGGCAAATTCCCAAGATTTTCAGAGAGTGTAAAAGTATGATGGGAAGTAATAGTTAAATTACTTCGCCTGAATTCATTAATGATTATTGTAAAAAATTGATTTGAATTGCAATACTTTATTTTGGAATAATGACGATATTGCCTGGTGTAATTTGGCTAAGACAGAAAATATTGAACTCGATATGCAAACAATATTGGACAACTTATGGCATATTTTGTGCAGTATTTCCTTGTATTGACCTCAAAGCCGTCCAGTATACATGTAATTATGATGAGATAAATCCGCTCTGTTGAAAGGAGGCTTAGTCTCTTTTGAATAAACTCAAATAGAATATGATCAGTAGATGTAGATCTGTTGACTTATTTCCTAGCAATACCTGAAGAAATTACTAAAACTTTTCAATAGTGCCACTAAGCTATACACCAGCAAATATGTGCAATGCAGTTTATACAATGCTCCAAATTTTAACTGATGGAGGGCACTGAATACCAGTAAGATCACAGTGTCGGTGATATGAAATGCTGAAAATAATTACAAGTTTTAATTAATCACTGTCTAATTATCAATCATAACAAATTTGTATTATTCATATCAGTCAAATACAGCATCAAAGTCAAGTATTAAACTATACTGTAGTGAGCACTTTGCTTTTAATAAATTTCATTGAACTAAAACTTGCACAGCCTTGCAATATTTTTTCATATCATAATTTCCTCAACCATTTGACATCATAATACACATACATGTACGTTTGATTGAATCATGAATATTACCATAAAAAAATCCTCAAAGCTTGTGTACCGTTACTTAGTTTTTTTGGTCCCTGATTATTAGTAATTACTAAACAAATTTACTAACCAACATTTTTTTATTTACAGTCTGAGGATAATCTAATATTTTTCATTATATTTAATGTAAACCGTTGGTAGTTTTGGTAATGCTGGAAAATACATGTAGCTTACAACAAAACTTACACTGAATGTGGAAAACTGAAACTAACTATTAAACAATCTTGATAGAAATTGCTAAAATGATATCAAGTGTGCATAACACACAGTCTCATATGTGCAAATTTGAGTTGTACTTCTCAGTAAATGCAATTTCAAGATGAATTTCGGCAGATGTTTTGTTTGTATTTTGCTGGTCAAAATATAACATATCTTGGCCTCTACTTCATGATTAACCATTTAGAATTTAGAAGTTAGTTTCTCTCAAAATGCAATACCATGATCCAGAGAACTCAAGATTAGCTTGAGGGAAGCATTAAAGTGTATCATTCAATTATGAAATTATTATTAAATTGGATTTTGCTCGTTCCTGCAGCAATTTGGCAGTATGACCACTGCAGCCTTGTTATGAAAAAACTGTTGGAAGTGTTTCGAACGATTACCAACCAAGTACCAAGTACTAATCGATCAATCAATCTAAATAGAAACATCTTTATGTAAGTGTTGGAACGTACATGTACAGTACATGTACAGTACATGTAGATAGGATTGTCCATTCATAGACATGGACTGTATAAACCCAAGCATCATTTTTCAGTGACAAATAGGTGAGATGATCAAGAAATAGAAATTCATATATATTGGAGTTTGAAATGTACCTTACTCTCTTCTCTTACCAGTAGAATTATTTTTATTGCTTTTGATAAAATCCAAATCAAATGTATTTATTACATTATAATAACATAGAACAAGGATTGTATTCAATGAATCAGAAAATTAGTTGAATTAGAGCTGATCATTCTATAGAGAGGATTTTGATGATAAATGAATCCAATATTTTCATAGTTCATACAATGTATAATTATAGTCCATGTACATGAAGACTAAGTTTTAAAACTTAATTTTTTTTAAAACTTAATTTTTTTTAAAAATATCACAAAATAAAGCATGGAGCAAATGTCTCAGGCTTAAATGTCGGTCAGTAGGATATTGCCGTTAACAAATTTTGTCTGCAATCAGTTACAAATCAGTTGCATGTATAACACCCTTTAAAAATATTCAGTATAACTATAACACTCGTATGAGTAGATGTATTTATAGAAGTACAAGCATATACCCAATGGTATAGGAATAAGATGTGTTAACAATAGCATTGTGGGAGTATGCCATTTGTTCATTGAACCAAGGGCAGTTAAAACGTTCACAGTTTACACAATACTGTATAGAAAAGGAATGCAGTTGGAGGTCACAGCATAGAATGTTCACTGATTATATAGAGTATGGTCTTGAGTGTGAACTTGATGGGAATATCTAGTAGATTTAAGTTTGGTGGAAACTGGAAAGAGTTCTGACCTGGATTTGACTTCATGTTATAATTTATGCTTGAATGGACTCATTTTTGTTTATTTTTTGTATTTGACTATCTATAGTGTGAGATACAATAACCTGCAAGTAAACACATTGTAGGGTCAACGTTGGCTTAGATTATAAATTGAAAGTTCTTTTTTTTTTCTTCAATCTTATTTTCCTCATTTTGTTTTTTATTTTCTCTACTATTATTGATACTTGTTACCTAGGAGTCAATCAGATATCCCTTAATTTTGTTAAGTTTTCTGATCATTGAATGTAAAATTAGGAATCAGAATTAATTACTGAATCTTATTCACCCTTTTGTACGTTATTGGGCAAGTCTGACATATTTTGGCTCCATTTGTTACCGATTGATTGGATCATACTTAAAATAAAGAAGTATTGTTTATTCAGCATTTGTTAGGTGCATGGCTCTATTATACATGGCAACATACAAACTGGCGAAGACCTACAGTAAGACTTACTCCTAACAAGAAGAAAAAGATTGAGTGAGAGATATATTTGAAGATAAGATCAATTGAAATGCTTTGCAGGAGGAGAATTGAAAAATGAAAGGAGATGAGGGGACAAAGGTTTGAGAAATAAGAAGGAACATGAATGGATTACTGGTAATGAAAGAGAAAGTGCTGGAATTTCTCTAGAGAGATCCTATTCATTATGTGCACTCTTGAACTGACTGAAAGCTGTATTGTGTTTTCTAGGGCTAAGTAGTAGAAAGCTCGAATTTAATTTAGAAAGCAGCCTCAAGGCATGGCTGATATTTGAGTCATGTCGCCTCAGAATGCATCGCTGTCTTCCAGGGGGCTGAATTCAATTCCATTAATGTGTGCAAAGAAAGAAAAGGGATGAAGGTGGAGATTGTTTTCGCAATTTTTTTTTTTTAAAGCCTTTGTTTTAGACATATAAATCTGTATAATGAAAGAAATATCTTGTGGATAAGACAAAACATAATGAAATGCAGCTACAAGCAGACGGGCTGATGCAGAGAAGTACATTTTATAAAGTGACTGTTTGTAATCTTTTACATTTTTAGCACTACAATGTTGAAGGAAAGTACTATGCAAGATGATTGTAGTTGGAAAATGTTTTGAATAGGACTGCTTTTAGAAGAATGAAATGTATTATTCATAGGTCTAGACTGTACTATTAAAAACAAAACAAAATTCATTCGACTCATACACATATTATATAGAAGCATGCCTGCTTTGAAGAGGTTTTGAATGCATGTAATAAAATCATTCATGCAATTAAAGGTTGAATTGTCATGGATTTTGTTAGCAGTGCCCTTTTCTGGACATCTTTAAGCATAACATCAGTTATCCTTTTCTAAATGCATGTACACTGTACATATACAAATGTACATGATCCTATTTAGTGCATCACTTATATTCTCTAGATGGCAAATGATTTCCTATGTTGTAGAAATGAATGATGAGAAAATCTTGGGTTTTGTAGCTGTGTACATGTAATACCAAATTGAAAGTAGGCTTGAAAGTAAAAAAATGCTGTTTTACTCTTTGGAAAGGGGAAAAAACAGAAATTATGGGAAGGGAATGAATTTAGCTAAAATACTGCAAGAGTAATAAGGGGGCTCTGGAAGGCAAGAACAAATGTAAGTACATGTACTGTACATGTATATTACACAAACATGCATGTATGTATTACAGAAAAGAGAGGGGCCAGGAAGGGGAAAATGTAACGAAAGAAAAGAAAGTGAAAGGGGGGGGGGGAGGAATAAAGAAAGCCTAAAGATAGGACAAGGGAGATACATTCATTGTTTGAAAAGTTCAGGATGACAAAAAGCACAGAATAATTTTCACTAAATTGGTGAATTTATATGACATGTAATACACTAAAGAATTCAATAAATATAAATTTGAAGAAAATTGATGAGCCCATTGAGACCAGATTGATGCACTGAGAAAACACATTCTCAGCAAATACATACTTTAACCAGTATAGTATATCACCCTAAAGAGCGACATATTTAGATAAGTTTACAAATTACAAGAAATCTGAGAAAGAGCAACTACTAATGTTGTGCCTTTAGGCTTTAGGAAGACAGGGATGGAGTTCTGAGTTTGTTTTGAATGCATGTATACCTAGTTCTTTCATGAAAACTGCATGTGGATGCCTTATACATGTAGTTACGATAAACTTGGGGGGGGGGGGGGGGGCTTGAAGATTGCAGAGAGACAGGGATTATGTGTGAAATTGATGCCTGTACTGATTTTATAAAACTTTCTTTTACTGTGTTGTATTGATCTGGAAAGGGATGTGGGGAGATTTCTACGGGTATCATACATGTCAAAGCTGTGATAAATCCTGGTTAAGCCGAAGCATAAGCAGTACCGGAGAGATCTTTACATATTCATGAAGGGATGGAGGAGAGTTGGATGCCTTTCCTCTCCTCCCATATCTCTCATCTCACTCCCGGAGCAGAACAGAGGCAGGTCATTGGAAATTCAGAATTGGCAAAGAGGCACTCTGATTCAGCATGCGAAACGCAGAGGTTGATTTCATGACGACAGGATTGTCACACACACACACACTCACACTCCAGCCACACACATAAACACACACGCAACACCACTGCCTCTACAATGCAGCTAAGAATCATATCCCCACACATACATCTAATTCATGCACACACAATTAATGCACACTCAGTGCGAGAGCGAGATAGCGAGCGGGCGCCGTTCCAAGCAGAGTCATCGTATGAGCGGTAGGAGATGATGGTGGGTGGGAAGGCATCACTTATTCTCATCACCATAGTGTAGAAGTTGAGATATTTAGCATCCCTCAGCTCATGGATGAACATGGATAATGTTGCTACTGTTCTAATTCAAGCTAGTCTACATGATGTGACATCTACATGCATTTCATAGGATTGTTTCTGCTTGTTCACTCGACTTATATCATTCCGATATTTCATGATGTAAACAAGATTAAACCAAGTGATACCGAAGTATAAGATGCCATTAATTATTTGGAAATAAATTGGACTTACAGGAGTAAATGGTGAGTAAAGCATCTAAAAAAAACATGAATAATGTATGTGCACAGATTGTAAGTTTGTTGTAAAATTTTCTTTCGCAGGCATATGTTCATGTAAAATGCAAGCATATTTTAAAGATGAAATCTATTTAACATGCAACCTGTAGCTTCTGTAGTACCAGATTTCTAGGATGGCAGTCTCAATCGATCTAACAACACTGATGTAAATTGACTTCTTGACCTGTTTGTGCCCCCAAACAATTTGTAAGATGTTCAAAAGTTGTTATTATTTCTGTGATGTTTGTCAAAATTTGCTATTAAATGACAGAATGCATATGAAATAAGTGTGTAGCACAAAGTGACAAAAGATGATGTTACCATGCCAATATCTTTTACAATAAAGATATTGTAAATAGACAACTGTAATCGTAAACGTGTGTGAATAAGGATGTCTTTTTAAAGGGAACATTAAATGTACTGTATTTCTTAAATTTCCAAAAGTACATTTTATGAGTCACGATGCTCTTACAAAGTTGAGTATGAATAATGTGCAATCTAGAGGTAAATTTAATAAATTATGATTTCTTCATTCATTTGCCCATTGAGATGTCCAATAATCAGAATTGTAAATTGATCCCACTCTGATGAATAGTAATGACTTGTAGCATGACGCAAAGTTCATCTTTAACCCTTCCACTCCTGTGTACGATGATCACCCCTTGGTGCATGTATTCTGACTGATGTGTCGTAGTACTGAAGGAGGTTACTAGAGTCGTTGAGGTAATGCTTGAGGAATTGATTGATAGAATGAATAATGCAAGAACTTAGAATCTTGTTAGTAGGAGCTGGGGATCCATATTCATTAGTTTGCTCCTCTAGTCCTTGGTAGAAGGAGGTTGTTTAGCCTTGTATCAGGTATCCCCATCTCCATTGCTCACATTGGGATCGGTTTCAAATGAAGAGGTCTTGTTTGGGGTGAAAGATTTGTGTCATACTTCACGGTTTGTTAACGCTGACAAGTTTTGTTGTCTACGCATTGTCCATATCTTCACCAAAGGTTAAGATTTACATGCTCCTTTAAATGTTCAAGTTCAATCCTTAAGTTATAGAAGGCGGCTTTGTGAATATAAAAAAAGTGATACTTTTCCCTGAATACAAATTATTATTCACTTTGTACATCTATATTTTTTTCACGTATCAGTAATTTGTTTCTTAAAAAATATTTAAAACTAAATTTCTCTGAAGAAGAATACTTTTCTATTTGTTTTGTTTTCCATGTAAAATGCATACCGATACTTCTGCGCAGAGAATGCAAACCCTTAACCTGGAAGCTTTACCTGGGAAATGTAAGGATTTCCATCTAATTAGCATTCTGGTAATGGAGCATTATCAACCATGTCTTATGTTACAGCTTTTGATACACGTCTGGGAGGCTGTCCTGGGAGTTCTGATTTTGAGAAAGATTGAGAGCAGGGAGTAAAAAACCTTTCGAGATTATGTCTCCAAGTTCACAACGATTTCAATTGTTATGTTGATGTACTGTAGTGTTTTGTTTGTTTCTGTGAAATGTTATTTATATCGTTGCCTGGCTGGCAGAAGGGCGTTAGCTCGAATTTCAGGTAATAAATGAAGTGTTAAGTACATTTAGAAGGGCGTTAGCACTAAATCGCCTCAAAATTGTATGAAACTTACTTATTTTCGAGAAAAAAATTGTGGCCGTGTTCTATTATAACATTTCTATTAGTCTTTTAAGTTTTAAAACAATTTTCGGGACAGAAAGCAGTTTAAATATAAAACAAATCATTAAATGTGAATAATTTGAAAGTAGTTTTCGAGTCACTTGCGCGCTAACGCCCTTCTGCCAGCCGGGCCGGCGATATGTAGATTGATGTTTCCAGAAATTTAATTTGCTATTGTTTGTCTTATAAATGCAACGATCATGCATATCAGCATGAAGCTAATACTGTTTTACATTGATCCTTTGTTGATTGTCATCTCTCACTATACCACTGATTAAATGGAATCAAAAGCAGAAAATCAGTCTTTCTCTTTTACTGGGTAACCATTATGTTGTGTATTAGCCTGTGCATTAGAGGGTTCTACATGCACTTGTCTGACCTTGTACCCAAGCCAAAATAGATTAAATCTCTAATAAGATAATGGATCATCATAGAGCATGTTGATTGCACTAATCTTTGACCACGCTCTGCCATATGCTGTATTTGTTCGTTGTTTGATGGCTGTGTTTGACAGGTTGTTTCTACAAGTGTGTGTGTTGTATACACACTCAAATTACATGTACATGTAGGCACGTAGGCCTATACTGTACATGGATATATTGCCTGCATGTAAGGTGAATGCAGTGAAGGATGATTGGTAATCTAATTTAAAAGAAAATTTAGAAAATACCAACAAATACACAAAATAATGAAAGGATGATAGGATGTTGCACATGCAATGTCACATGTGATTAATATTTTAGTGATTTCTTTGAAAGTGAAATAATGGTTGTTGGCTTGAAATACATTGCAGGAAACCCCTGTATGTGGCAGGGCCGCAGTAGTGTACTTTTTGCAGGGAGTCTGTGATAAGATCCACTAGGTTTTTTTTCTTTATTCTTTACAGAGCCGATAAAGGTCATGTTGGCTGCATTAGAAAACTGCATTTGCATATTTACCACAGGATATAACATTTCTATCTCTTTTCTCCCACGCATTACTTTTCCATTTCTAGAAAATCCCAGGTATACAGTTGGCTAGTGTGAGTCCGTTCCTCTGCATCTTTATCTCAGCAACTACAGCAACCAATCCCTGACAAAGAGAGGAGTGTTCCTAAGCAGACCAGTTGGGGCTTTACCCCTCACCTTCCCTTCCCCGGCCCCCCTCTTGATCCAGTCTGCCCTTCTTACACCACCACTATCTGCATCACCACCACCATGTCTGGGTCCAAGCTATCCACCCCTAACAACAGCGGAGGAGGACAGGGGAACCTGTCTCAGGAGCAGATCATCACAGGCACACGGGAGGTGATCAAGGGTCTGGAACAGCTCAAGAATGAACACAATGACATCCTCAACAGCCTCTACCAGAGCCTCAAGATGCTCAAGAAGGACACACCAGGTGACTCTAACCTGGTGGAGGAGAAGACTGATATCATCGAGAAGTCCCTTGAGAGTCTGGAGCTTGGTCTGGGTGAGGCTAAGGTGAGTTAAACTGCCCTTTTCGTTTATTCAACCATACATGTAGAATCATCTTTAGAGCCAGAAGGATATACTTCAAAGTTAACGTCCTTCTAACTCTGAACAGCCAAAATACTCCAGTTTGTAATGGTTGCAAATGAGCAAATTTTATAATCAAAAGAAGAATTATGTTTTTTGTTGTATAAAAGTAATACCTCATATTTCCATACCGGTAATTTAAAAAAAGGAAGAAGAGAGAGCGAGTACTGAGTGGGGAGTGAGTGGGAAAGATTTTTTTTTTTTTGCTGAACACATAATAGTAAACTACAACAACAACAAAATCCTCTTATCGTTAAAGTTGGTACAACAGTTAATAGAAAAATAGACATTAAAAAAAACCATGAAAGTGATTTTTATACTTAAAACTTTGATAATTTTTTTTTTACTTCAGTTCACATATTATGATGATGTTTATTATACTGGAAAAGGACAGTAACCTCATGTTGATCCATCAAATTGATATTAGATCTTGAAACACTAGGACTGAGGCCTTCTTATCCCTAAAGAAGCTGCTTTCTTGAGCTAACAAAATATTTAATAAAGTGTCGGATGATCTCAAAGTTGAGGATGCTTTGAAGAGGGGGATAATGAAATCAGGAGATATTGGTATTGATTTGATTGGCCTCAATAAACAGTGTCATATGGTGCCAACATGCTTCACTATTGTGGCGACTGAAATAATAGCCATGAGGCACTGAACCTACCACAAGGGTATTCAGTCCTTTCACACAATCAATATCCATACTCATTGAAAGCTGTCACAGGAAACCCTGAATTTCTAATACGTGTATATGTCCAGACACTCAATGCTAAAGTACATGCATCGACAAAACTCAAATTGTGTCCACCACAATGTCCAGTTTGTAGAGAAGTAAGAACTTGGTTCCAAAATGAAAACTGTTTTGTCAGTTGATGATGAGAAATGGTTGTACATGTACTTGGCTACAGAAATGCAGAAAGGTGTTTGCTTTTACACGATTGAAGGCACAGCTAGAAACTCCTTATAAAAGTCTTTACCTTTGAAAATGTTACAGAATTTTAAGAGATGACTGAAATTCTTGAGATGGAATAAATTTATCCTAAAGGCTTGTTCAGATATGGGGGGGGGGGGGGTATTAAAAGCGCCAGGAAAAACAAACGCCACAGTTTTTTTATAATGAATGGCAACTGCGCTGAACAAAGGACTTGCCCGTATTCATCGAGCTCTGCGTACTAAGATGCAGAAATGTGAATTTCCCCTTGTCACATGACCTAGAATTAAGGCCAGCATGTTAACATGAGGTACATGAAGTGAGGGATACGCCATGCACGTGTGCATTCGTAGTGCTCCATTTTAGTAGCTTTATATATATTTTATAACTTTCCGGTTCCAGAGTCCACGCATTGATTGTTTGCACTATCTTCTCTGTAAATTTATTGTTTTACTCCTTGACCTAACTATACATAACCTGTGAACCAAACTTGACTTTTTTCATACTAGGCCAATAACATGTAGATCTAGGCATCTTGTGTATTCAGTTTATTTGCAGTCAAACATTTTTAGAGTCACATTAAAGGTACTATGTCCCATTTGCAGGCAAAAAAAAATGAAAAGGTTACATTCCAACAGCATTTGAAAGATAATACTAATTTAGAACTTCCCTAAAAAAGGTGGGGCTTGAAAATGTCTTCAAGTGGGAAAATAACGACTATTAGTAGTCAAATCGATTTAGGAGCTATAGAGCCAATAAGTTATAGTCTCGATTTCCAGACCATTGTAACGAATGGTCATACGTTTTATGCTGCGCAAAGATTTAATCAGTTTAATTTTGACCATCACAAGAAGTGGGTTATTGATGTAGACAAATGCTCATGTATCCTTTACAGCTCATTTCATGTATGTTATTACCAAAGAAGAAAAAAGTCATTCAGTCACTCAATAGTGTCTGACAGTGAAGTCTAGCAAGTAAACGGGTTTCCTTGCATAATTTGAATATTAGGACACTGCTAGCGTTTAAAATTCACAGATAGGACATACATGACATATTCATAATTCCTGCAAAGTTCTACAGAATATGAGGTTGGCTGCAAAAGGGACATAGTACCTTTAAAGGATTTGAGAAAAGAAACAGAGAATTAAAAGTAATAAATCAGAGCAATAAATCAGATATTTAGTGTTCAATACACACACATTTGTTTTTGTCTGTAGAGATGCACAAATAAACATAATGGTGTAATCAAGGAATGAATCCTTGGTGTACATGTAGTTATAATCAACCTAATATCGGTCAAACTGATAAGTTTCCTGCGATAGCAATCAGAATTTTGTTATTTGTCTCGGGCACTTCAGAGTTAAAATCCACTGATAATTGCTTTTGGCCACATATCAACAGATTTTGACAAGAGACATGGCAATTATTGGTGCTCATTATATTACTAGTTTTATTATTCTTCAAGCAAGTCTGATGATGTCATTTCTATTGCAGATCAGGAATTCATATTTCTTTTATAGGGACATGCTTGGTATTTTTTTATATTGTAATTATGCTAATAATAATTGCTTTCTTAGACTTACCCCAGATACATAGAATCTAGATCATTGCCTTGAAATGCCAGCCTTTTTGTAGCACCATAACATAGAAGTAGGGAATAGAAAACTAACAAAATAAAATTATATGACTTTATATGAGTAAAAGAAGACAAGATGGAAAAAATTTGGGGACAATATTCATTGTACATTATTTGTAAGATATCATAGAATGATCACCCTCAAAACATGTAGGTTATACACATACCTTTCCATGCTTCCTCACATCGTATATCATTTGAATATGTATTGCTAGCTTTCTGTGGTAACAAAAATAAAAACATGGTCGTCATTTTAAGCCAGGAGGAGAAGGAAATCCTTAAAGACTTCCCATTTTGCAAGGATTTAGGTTCCCTTTCGAGGCATTTGTGCATAAAATACAATTTTTACAGTTTATATTTCTGAAAAATAAGTAAAAAGAAGCTGTGGTAAATATGTCATTCACATTATTGCGTTAGTGAAAAGCATTCATTAAGTTGTTGAGCAAGAGGCCTACATGGTAAATAGCAGGTACATGTATATGCTTGTCATAGGAAAATAGTTGCAGAATGATAACCTAAGTATCAGGCTACATGTACTTTCCATATGGATCCAAGTTCATGTTTAATTCTTTCCAGCAAAATTGATCTTGCGCTATTGTTGTGAATTCGTAGACAAATTTGTATATGATTTGCTTTTTCTATTCTGTTGGCTACATTGAAAAAAATGCTCAAGGATTTTTCACTTTTCAATCGATTAGGCCCACATGGACATGTATATACTGTATGTATGTCATTATTAGAGGAATGCATACTTTACTGGAGAGATATGAATGAATCAATGCTTGGATGGGTTGTTATAAGGTCAACCAACTATTCATGTACATTACATATATCCTTTTCATTTTGTGTGTGCGATACATATATATCAAATCCTGATGGCAGTAAACCTGTATTACATGTATTTTATGCTCTATTAAAAGTCATTATAAACATTTAAACAAAGGATGCAGACTTTACATGTAACATCGAAAGTTGTATGCAAGTGCAAGTTGTTACTCCAACAGAGCCAGTTCAAGGGCTATACCATGTTAAGTCCATGGCTATACTATCCCAAGTGCTTCCAGATTTATCTAATCTGTGATTAAAGAGAACTAGCAGGACCCGTGGAAAATCCACGGGATTCTAGGGGAGGGGCCAAATAGATAGATAGATAGAGGCCTATGTGCTATCCAAAAATTAGATTATCTTTATATATAGAGAATTTTTATAATATATGCTGTTTGACCATGAATGGCGCATCGTAAAACAAACTATGTCAGATAGGATCTCGATAATTACGATTTATTTGCATTATTATTGTTGTGATTTCAATGTAGTTTCATGAAAAGACTACATACATGTATGCAGAGGCTTGGATTATGATTATGTTGGCATTGTTCACAAAATGTGTATAATTATTTTCAAAGTAAAGATTTTACGCGAAAAATCGAACGGTTTGTGCACAAATTGACTCGACTGTGTGTGGGACTGTAAGCGTAGAATCCAGTGAAAGATTTTTTTTTTCGGGGACTCGATCTATATCAAATTTTGGGAAAATTTTTGGGGCCTACTTTTTTATCTTTCGGGGGCTCATTTTTCTTGGGCTAATTTTTCATTAATTCATTTAAAGATGCAGTTTGTTTAGTTTAGTAGCGTAGTGTTACGTAAAAAAAAGGCGTACTTTCTGCGTCAAGTTTCTACGCCGAAAGTACGCAAATTTTGTTAAACATATTAAATTGTTTGCGTCCATCTTGCATACTTTTTTGCGTCCCTCAGGGTATAGTAACGAAGGCCAGCGTACTCTCAGCTCAGCGTAGTTGGTAGGCAACTCTACTATGGACCCCACGCCAATTAGTGATCGACCTGCCAGTGTCACAAATAAGGCATTAAAAATATGCTCATCTGACCGTAATTAAATGCCTAAAACCCCCGAGCTTTCGGGGGTTCAGCCCTTTGTACCCGTGGACACCACGCCTGCACTCAAATCGCTTTGAGTTACCTGACCCCCCCCCCCCCCATACTTTTAAAAATTGATTTGATGCAAGAACTGTATCATACTAAAAGTATTATCATGTTTTTAAACGACCATGACGACCGTCTGATTTTCTTGTGAAAACTTTACTTTGCTTGTGAAAACTTTACTTTGAAAAATGATTATCGAAATTCAGTATACAACTATACATGGCCAGAATAATCACAATCTAAGCCCAGGTTTCATACATCTATTCACGAAACTACATTGAAATCGGGGCAATAATAGCAATTTCAAAGTGTTGTTTAGACTCTCCTCACACCACGGACAGGCCTGGCTACTCCGGTCACCGCTAGTCCATGCTCACACACTCGGCTCCGACAGCACCCCCGACAGCAGCGCTCAG